AGTAAGTAAGTAAGTAAGTATTAAGCAAATAAGTAGGTAAGTAAATATGTAAGTAAGTAAGTAGGTAAGTAAGTAGGTAAGTAAGTAAGTAAGCATTATGCAAGTAAGTAAGTAAGTAAGTAATTAAGTAGGTAAGTAAGTAGGTAAGTAAGTAGGTAAATCAGTAAATAAATAAACAAATAATTAAATAATATAGTTATATAAATTAAAAATAAAACTTCTGTTCTTCTAAAGAGTGTAACAAAAACATAAAGGTTTACTTGTATTCCCTGTTCAATTCCAGTCCATACAAACATTCATCTTAAAAAGAGACATTCATTACTTAAGACCCTCAGAGATGGGGGACATCGGCGTTCCTCTTGTTTAATCTAATTTATTTCATCATGTGTATATTTACAACCAGGTAACAAAGACCTTTAGAAAAAAAAAACACCAAAACCACAACCACACGCTGTGTTCTGACTGCAGGTGCAGCTGTCACGCTCCACACTTACACTAAACTTAATATAGGTCAGCTCTTGCATTAATATATTTTTCTCATGTATTTCTAGCTTCCAACAAATGTAATAAAAATGAGCAGTGTTAGGCCACCTGTTGTGCTGGCAGTGAACCACAGGGCCTGTTTTTATTAAATCAATGATGTCATTTAGAAATAATATCAAAATCTTTCCCAAAGACCTTCAGGCAGAACTGTTAGAGCTGAATGTGGATTTAAAATTCTGATTTGCTTAAAGGGCATTCATTGAGTCATGCCAACAACCTGAAAAGGCCTAAAACCAGCTAATGTTACACACAGCATGAAGTATCTGTATCAAATAACAAGTCAGTGAGGAACCCTCTGGCTCAGAAACAAGATGTTTTATTTTCATTTGCTAGATCTGAGCAGAGCACCTGAGCAAGGCCAGACTTTTTATAAATTTCTTTTAATAGTGACTTATTTCAGATGTTTGGAAATGTGGTTCTGTGGAAAAATTATGAACAATTTTTGATTAAATCAATTCAACAGAGAGGTCTTTCCTTTCAGTGTGCTTCAGCTACTGCTGCTACTTGTGCTTAAAACAATCATAAAAGCCCACCAAGCCAAACCCATGACAAAAGCTTTATAAATGAGTCTTTTGGTGGACAAAACTTGCCCCTGCACCACCAGGATCCATCACTGGGCAACTCTTTTTACATCGGAAAACAAAATAAACAAACAAACAAACAAACAAACTCCCTCTGTTCTTCTCCTCAGTGCAACTTCTACCCACTAGAATATGTTGCACCAAAAGCATTTAGGTTCACTTCAGTCTCTGTTCTATTTCAGACCAGAAAAACACTCATCTCCAAAACTACAAACATTCACTATTCAAATCCCTCCAGGGACATACGGCTTGTTTATAATAAACTTTGGCTTCACACTTTTTTACCTGCAGTCAACTTGCTAAAAGCTAATGAACATATTAAAGGATGCCATTAACAGACATCTTTCCTAAAATACAAAACTATTTTTATGCCATTTGTTTCTGTGCCTGTATACATATATTCATCTAGTAGTACTCCTACCACCTTGTGCATATTTGTCTTTTTCTAATTTGTGTATTCTGCTTATTTTTCATTATTTCACATGTATATTTTCCTGTATAATTAGATTTATAATTATGCTACTGGATGCCTGGAATTTGCCCCCTGGGATTAATAAAGTATCTACCTACCCATCCATCCATCCATCCATCCATCCATCCATCCATCCATCCATCCAGGCTTGCTCTCAGGGGGAAGTTAAACTCAAAGTAATTCCTGGATCCTCCAAAGAAGACATGCCATTAAACATAACGAAGGTGAAACAAATGCTGTAAATCTATACTTTGTGTTTGTTTTCAATGTGAATGTATTTTTTAAATTAGCATGCAGTATGGCTTCATAGAACTAGATGTCGAGTCTGGACTGAATGTGTAAGAATCCTGTTGTTTTGTGAATGTGCCATGCTGCTGTCATCACAGCGAGGCTCTCCAAACACAACCAATCAAAGATCATTTGTAATATTCAAGGGTTCTGCCATTTGAAAACCTCAGCTGTGTTATTTGATTATAACCAGCGATTGTTTAGGTCTTACGTGGAAAACTCAGAGTTACACAATCTTTGTGTTTAGAGTGAATTATGGGCTGCTACCACTGCTCATGCACAGCAACGACCCAACTGAAAACTGTTGGTGTTTCCTTTCTTTGAAGCGAGAAACATTTGTAAAGAATCAAAGCAAATTGTTTTCAATGATTGTGATCATTTCTCAAAACGTGACACCAGCGTGTGGGGAAAACCAGACAAAGATGTGTTCACTGTCAGGATACAGATGTTCACAGCATTACAGAGGGGGAAAGCCAGAATAAATGATAAAAAAAAGTTTAAACCCAGATAAATGTTATTTCCTGTAAAAATGCAGCTTATTGCTGAATGATTCTGCTGAAAGCTGCTGAACAAGCAAAAGCTTATTTGAAATACACCTGTAGATGAAAAGTAGAAAGAAGGAGCTGAAAGGATAACAAAACTAGCTGAAATTAGATGAAAACAGCTGAAATTAGAAGAAAGAATGTAAAAGTAAAAATAACAAATTATGCTGTTCTGCACAGTGACTGCTGGACATGAGCACCAGTGACCCCCGCGACCTGAAAAGGAAGAAGTGGGTAAAATAGATAATGGATGGATGGATGATGACATTAAAATAAAAAAAGTTGAAAGTAATGTAAAAATACTAAATTACCAGAAAAAAGCCAATATAAACACAAAAAATAAATGAGAATGGACAAACATCTAAAATTAAGAGAAAGAGGCTGGCAGAGCCCAAAATACTGAACTAGAGTATAAAGGAGGTGAAGAGAGCTCCATTCATTTTCAGTGATATACAAACCGGATTCCAAAAAAGTTGGGACACTAAACAAATTGTGAATAAAAACTGAATGCAATGATGTGGAGGTGCCAACATCTAATATTTTATTCAGAATAGAACACAAATCACAGATCAAAAGTTTAAACTGAGAGAATGTTTCATTTTAAGGGAAAAATCTGTTGTTTCCAAATTTCATGACGTCAAAAATCTCAAAAAAGTTGGGACAAGTCCATTCTTACCGCTGTGTGGCATCCCCCCTTCTTCTTCCAACACTCAACAGACGTCTGGGGACAGAGGAGACCAGTTTCTCCAGT